TACACAATGTATTAATTTTAGTTAGTTGGTTATGTATTTTTTAAATAAAAAAAAATTTTTGAATTTACTTACTTGTAACCAGAATTAGAGACGGTCAGATACTTATGATCGCTACTATACCATATATACATTCAAGAAAAAACTGTACAATATATACATTACTAACTGTACTGTCTAAGTTTATATAATACCCAAATTCAGAAGTTTATTAGATAAATTAATATAAACTGATTCTTTGGATAAAGCAATCCAAACAAAAGGTATCGATTTTTTAGATCAAATTAAAAAAGCTAATATATTGTTAACTGACGCAATAAGCATTTTATCTAATATCTGATTTCTATATCGAATTTGTGAGTGAGAAGCAAAATAACTGAGCACCATATTCCTTCCTGATTATAATTATTAATAAACTCCTGAAAAGCATAAAGATAGGAATATTTGCGTTATACATTAGAGATTTATGAGAAATCATTAGACCTGAAACGCAAAATATGGTTCAGAAAAAAATGCGTCCACAGAGTTGGCTAGAGTGTCCTATGTCTTTACAAGAAGTATTTTAAATTTCTTTTACTTTTTTAAATACAAGTTATATAACTTTTTTTTTGGACTATTAGAAGTTTTAAAATAAGTTTTATAATAATATAAAAACCTTTAAACATTGTTATTATAGTTAGTATGTTACTCTAAGCAAAATCTTAAAAGTAGATTATTTTTGCAAGCAGTTGGGAAGCGGAAAAGGGGGAAATCAACTTTTTAGTCAAAAAAAATTTTTTATTGGTTCACTCTGCTGATCATGATCAAGTAAACAAAACTAGCTTAATACCTTTTCTATTTTTTCTATTGACCACCCTCCAGTTAGTTAAAATTCCAAAGAATTAAACAGTAAGCAAAACTTTTTAAACTGTATTAAATTGATCTGCAATAGCTAATCATAGAAAAGTCTGCCTATGACATACGCACGTCAGGCGTGAAAATTAGGCACGTGAAGTTTCTTATGATAAATACTTTTATAGGTTACATTAGAACGGTATAAAATTTTATGAGTAAATTATCGCAAACTAAAAGATTTTATTCTCTAATATCCTGATAAAAATGATTAATGGTAAGTCAATACATGTGAAACGCATGAGCGTGAATTCATTTTGTTATCAGAAATAATATATAACAAAATAAATCATCTTTTACTCATCTTTACTTTCTAATTTTATTTTTACTTTTTTTTATTCTTTAAAATTTTATATAAAATGAGTTAGTGGGTTCATTTTCTTATATAAATAATCATGTGTACATAGCCACTATCAACGCCAATATGGACTTAAGGTTGAAAAGCTTCACTCCGGGCGTAGCCAAAATATATTTTACTGATGCGGTCGTAAGTGTTTTATACTAGCTAAAAAAATGTTATGATACTTCTCACTACTAATTACTAATCCAAATTTTTGTTCTAGTCACCACCTACTGCAAGTAATCCTATTCCACCTCCAAATCAGTTTATCATGAGAGACTTTCAAGGAAGAAATGTACCAAGAAATGTAGTAGATGGGGATACGAATTGATTTTAAATGGAAATCCAATCGTAATACTAAGAAGTCAAGTTCAGCAATCTGTTGAGCTGGCTGATGGCGTAACTCATTTTGTATTTTAGTTTATTGCGTAATTTTCTTACTAAATAGGTTTATAAAGTGTTTGCTGTAATAAGGAATAATTGAACAACTCATCCAAAAATAAAGGCTAATATACCAACTATTTTTACAAGAAAAAAAGAAATGGAAAAAGACAAAACATGTTTACCGAAACATGATAAAAGCGAAAAGGGACATGATTAGTAAGATTTATTGGTAAAATGAGTTTAAGAAGTGGCCGTAAGGTACTTCGGTTACTTTGCACTTGCAAAATGGAGGTTTTTCCGATTTATTAAGTCCGAGTTAAAAATTACGTTATCTCATTTCATCAAAATAATAAATTATTATTAAAGAAAAAAAAAAAACCTTGAGGCGCGTTTAACAATTAGCGCTAAAAGGAAAATCCCAAAGCAACCCAAAAACGGAAATTCAATATGTAATCTCCCTATTTGGTAAATTAAATGCATTACGTACTCATGGAGCAATAAAATCTACACTATATCTGTAAATAATCATTCGATTTCCATTTTCGTTTTATGCTATCATCACGATAGGCGAATGAGTGTACGAATCATATGGAATACAGGGACAGTTTTTAATTGTGGAATGAGAACTTTCCGGAAAAAAATGATCGAAGGATTGGCATTAGATTCACCTAACACGTTACGGAAATTTTAATATTTACCAAAAAGATATAACTTGGCATTTTATTGTTATGTTAATATCATATACGAAAATACAATTTATAAAATCATATCCCGCGCGATCAATGATGACGGACTACTACACATGCTTATTATTTCTTGATTTTTTCGAGCACATGATGCTTCTTATTTGCGTGTCTGTTACCCTATCTTTTAACAACACTCTAAATCTCTTCACATTATCACGCAATCTAGTTGGATCATCAACGGTCAAAAATTCGATATTCAGTCCTGCTCGCACTCAGTACTGTCTGTACCATAGACATAATGATATCGAACGCTTCGCTTTTTCTTGTTTTACTTGCCTGACGCAACTTTCCTTCTGTTGTGCAAATAAGTTCTTCGAGCGTCTTTATTGCGTATATAAACGCCCTGTAATTTCTTAAGGTTGCTTCGTTTTGGTTATTCTCATGACAATGCATATGATAATGGTATGAATGGCGGGATCTATCTTATGTCTTTACCATTAATCCCATATTTTGTTAACACTTCCCTAAAGGTTTATATGATGAATAAGCCCGACCATCAATGCCGTACTGCGTATCTTTCAGGTGACGATCTCACATGATTATTAATTATCCCCTTCCAAACTAATTTCTGTGAATAATAAATAAATTCGTAGAATATATGCAATGAACGTGCTAACGCTAATATTTCGATCCCTATTTCTTCTCCAAAAACTCATGCTTTTCTTCTCCCTATTAGATCTACTTTCATCAATAAAAAAATTATTTAAGCGCATACATGTGTTAAAATAATATTTAAATTATTTTGTCAATTCATTAAAAAAAAAAATCGTATATATTTTTATTTGAAATTATTTATTTTCAAAAATCAAACAACGACTTGCGGGTTTAGCTCAGTTGGGAGAGCGTCAGACTGAAGTGCGTTAGCGATCTGAAGGTCGGGTGTTCAATCCACCCAACCCGCACTTTTAAAAAACATCCTTTTTAACCTAAAAAGGAAAAAAAAAATCTTTTACATGATACCGAGAATGGATTTTCATTCATTGAACATAATTCATATTTCTCTAGTTCTGAACGAAAAATAGTTTAGTAATATTATATGACGCGCCAAGTACGCCAGCATTATAAACATCGACTTAATAAAATATTTGACGCAGTAATCATTCTAAAATACTTTTTTTTTTTTAAAAAATTTCCATTAATCACGTTATTGTTTATGCATTGTCATACAATGTTGATCATTTTTAACAAAATCATATTCTTTGTAAAAATTATTTTATCGGGCGTATCAACTTCGTTCTAATTAAAATAATATAAATGTGGATTGTTACCTTATTGTCATATGGGGGTTGACCTTATGATTTTATTTGAAAAGGCCGGGATATTTAACGGCACATTACAATAAAATTTTATTTAAATGAACCTGAAATAAGTTAATATGATTTTTTATTATGTAAAAATAAATAATTTCTTGGTCAAGATTGAACCCATTTTTAATTAAGTATTCAGTATAAAATATTCTAATATTAATTTTTTAACGAATAAGCAATAACCCCTTCTGCAACATTTAATAATAATTCAAAGGCGCTATCAACATGTTTTTCTGTTGTTAATGGAGATCCAGGAGAGAATCTTATTATACTTTGTCCTCTCATCTTAGTTAGTGAAAGTAACACTTTACCACTTTCATTTAATCTATCACAAATAATTTCTGTAAGTTCATTTGAACTTTTTGTAAAAATATTATTTGGTTTAATATGAAAATTAACCAATGCAAATTTTGGAGGTGTTGAAATTACAAATAAATCGGGGTATCGTAGGAGTTTATTGTGAAATTGTCTCGTGAGTCTAACCATCTAATGATCACGTACAAGGTTAAAAAGCAATTCCTAATAAAAATCTTTTTTTTTAAAAAAAAATGATAAATGCTTACCTTTCTAATATGTTCTCTTAATCCTTTCGCTCCATATGTTCTTACAATAAACCAAACCTTTAAAGATCTAAATCTTCTTCCCACTTTTTTTTTTTTTTTTTTTAAAAAAAAAGTAAAATTAAAATGAAATAAAAAACGAAATATAAAAAAAAAAAAATTCAACTCTTTATGTGTGCTTACGTGGAATTTCCCAATCTTTATAATCTATAACTAATCCACTATCACTCGCAGGATTTTTAAGAATATCTTGTGAAACCGACAATGCATTTATAAGATGATACCGGTTATTAATCCTATTAATAAAAATAGACATATTTTTTTTTAAATTTGATAATAAAATCACTTTTTTTTTTAAAAAAAAAGTTTATTACCATAAACAAGAACATTCGAAATTGGCTAATAACCACTTGTGCATGTTAAAATCGAATGAATCTGCTCGATTTATCCCTTTTAACAAATATTTAAACTCGGGACAGACAAGAGCTGCACCAGCATATGCGGCATCAACATGTAACCATATCTTTGTACCCTTGACTAAGAGTTGATTTTTTTTTTATTAAATAATATGTTTTTTTAAAAAAAAATGTCGTCAAATTAATTCTAGAAATTAATCGCCACTTACTTGCATTCGCGATTTCAGTTAATTTATCAATTGCAGCCGAATCAGTCGTTCCTATCGTTCCAACGACGTAAAATGGAATCAATCCATTAGCAATATCCTTTTCAATTGCTTGTTTGACAGTTACTCCACGGAGAGAAAAATTATGATCGGTAGGAAGAGCACGATCGAGCGTATTTGTGATCTTTGCCGCTTTTTTTAAACAAGAATGCGTCTAATTTTTAAGTGGAAAAAAAAAAATTAGGAATTAATGAACCAGAAAGTTTAAGAAATTTCTTTCCTTCTGATTTACCTGATCCGAACCATAAGCAACTAGTCGAGTTGAAATGCTGCGTAATTCTTCCTCATTCGCACCTTTCTCTTTATATTCTTCTAATATTCTATGTCTTGCCGCAAGTAACGTTACTAACGTCGCTTCACTAGCAGATGCTTGAATTACGCCTCCACCTTTCCCATTACTGTAAAATTTTGGATCCAATCCAATGAGTTTTGCCATCCAATCAAGAACAATTGGTTCGAGTTCAGTACAAGCAGGAGAACTTGACCACTAAAATATCAAAGATCGAAAAAATAAAGTAAAAATTAGCACATTCAAAAAAAAAAGGGGGCAGAAATGATATTTACATTGAATCCAATGACATTAAACATGTCAGAATACATGCCAGCCAATATAGAAGGAAATGAGGAATTGGCAGGATAAAGGGCAAAGAAATTGGGACTTTGCCAATGTGTAACTAATTAAATATTAACTATTTAGGTTTTTTGTGCTTAAGTATTAAAAAAATGTGTATAAAACTCACTTCCGGGGATAATTTTCGTTTCAATATCGGATTGAATTGCCTCCCACGGTTCGGGTTCTAAAGTTGAATAATTGATTCGTTAAAAAAAATAATTGAACATTCGATTTTTAAATCAAACTAATCGTTATTGTGAAATAAAAATTACCTTCCGGTGCTTTTTCAGGAAGCAGCAGCTTTAGATATCCTGGTTCTACTCTTGACGAAACTGAAGATTCGATTTGTGATCATCATTTCCTTTTTTGTTAGAATATTATATAAAAAAATATATATATTATACCTTCATAATTTTCAAGCTCTTGATAATATTTACAAATTCTGTCAATGGTTTCATAGCCTCTTTTACGAAATTCTTCAACATCCATCTTTCAAAATGATGTAGACTTTATTATTTATTTTTTATTTAAAAAAAAGATTTAGGTTCTTTGTTAATGAGAAAAATATATTTTTATTCTTTTTATAAGAAAAGAACGGATCACTCCTTATTTTTAATTAAAAAAATGATAGACCGTCGCGAATAATTTTTGGCTGACGAGCGGATATAATTAATATATTTGGAATAGACGTAAAGGAACTTGAATAACGTGTTGTAATGGTAGTTTTAATCATTCCAAACTTGGCACATCTTAATTGGTTTCTATTGTCAACACCGCAAAACGTGAAGTAACTTTTTTCCGTAACAGAAAACTTTATTAAATAAGTTTGCAAATAATTAAGGATCGTCAAAAGTCTGAATCTTATGGTCAATAAATAGAATGGTCAATAGAATTATAAAGATGTCAGAAATTCTGCAAGAAATTATTAGTGTTTTATTATATATAAATTAAAATTATATTATTAATTTCATGTGTTAATAACACACAAACTTTGGATTGGATGCCTTGACTTTGATAATACATTAACTTCACTGGTAATCGATTACCCGTGAAATCAATTATTCAGCCCTGATTTCTATACGTTTTTTTTTATGATCCTTTACTATCAATTTTTTCTCTTTTAGTTTACAATTCTATCATAACACAATTAAGCAAAAATCTTTTCAAGAATTTTTATTAGAAGAAAATAAAGAAACTAATTTTTATAAAAGAAAAATTAAAAATATGATCTGATTATCCTAAACCCATGTATAAATAAAATTTTTTTAAGTACTTATCAAACGCCGGACATGTCGCACTGGGGTGCTCGATATACTATGTAGATCAAAACTATATGTAGACCATATAAAAATTCATTATTGATTGGTAACTGAAATACTGCATAAAAAATTATTTTTAGACGCATTATAATTTAAATTTCGCGGCATTTATTTATAGCATTAAATTAAATTTCCAATTTTATTTTTATCGTTCACATTCGGGCTGCTAATATAGGTTTTTCTTTTTCTTTCTATTTTTTTTACTTTCTATTTTCATTTTCATTTTTTTTTTTTTTTATTTATTTTTAATTTTAACTTTTTTAATTTCGATTTTATTTTTATTCAGTTTTTTGGCAAATAAGTGAGTACTTTTTTTTTAAATATATTTTTTATTTTTTATTTTAGTTTTATTTTATTTCTATTTTATTTTCATGGAGGTTTTTTGACCGCATCGGGTGCTGCGTTAGTTAAATAAGTGATTTTATTCATTTTCGTTTTCCTTTATATTTTCAGATTCTTTTTTATTAAACTTCAAACCGAAGTGATCCAACCTGAAATAATCATTCAATTAGAAGAACATGTTAAAAATATTCACTTTTTTATTCTTTTTAATTCTTTTAAAACAACAAATAGCAAATAGAAGAAGAACTCCTACCTTTACAAGTTACCTGTATAATGATTCTATTTTGAAGCTAAGAGGCGAATTTTAAAATAAAAATTACATTTTAATTATAGAGAAAAGGATTGTTATTTTTTTTTTTATTATAATAGAGTAGTAAAGAAAAATAAATAAAAGAAACAGTTAAAAATTCATAAAAATTTTTTAATTAAAATAAATTGCTTATGTACACATCCCGGCCAAAAGTATTGGACCAAAAAAAAAGTTATCACAACTTTTAAATTTATGACCAATTTTAATTTTTTAATTATAAAAAAAATTAATAAGTCAATTTGGATAATTTTTTTTTTTATTTTATTCATAAAACATGAATTTTTTATTTATAAAATTAATATTTAGTTGGATTGCCATTGCTATTTATTACAGCTTGAATTCTTCTTGACATATTTTTTACTAAATTTTCTAAAATTTCTGGTTCAATTTCATATCACTTTTCCTTCAAAATAACCATTAATTCATTAAGATTTTTTGGATGTAGCTTATATTTACAGACCTTTCTTTCTAAAGTATTCCACAGATGTTCAATTGGATTAAGATCAGGTAACTATGCAGACCATAAAATATTAGTTATTTCATTTTCTTCTATCCATTCCTTAACTACTTTTATCTGATAAACAGGAGCATTATCATCTTGAAAAATATAATTTAAATTAGTTTCCAACTCATCAATAAAGGGTAAAAGATTATTATTTAAAATATTAATATATATAGAACCTGTTATTCTACTAGAAACTTGAATTTAAAAGGCCAATCTTATTTTTAGTAAAATATCTCTACATCATAATGCCTTGATTTCTGACTTTACTGTAGGAATTAAACAATTTATATCATATTTTTCATGAAGATGACACCAAATCCAATGATGAGCATCATTTTGAAATAATAAAAGGTAAGATTCATTACTTCATATTATTGTATTCCACTCAGATTCCCAATCTTTTCTAGTATGATACTATTCTAACCTTTTTTTATAATTTACTTCAGATACTAAAGGTTTTCTTTTTTTAGCATAATTATAAAAATCTTTATTATGTAAATTACGCTTTATAGTATTAAACTATTGATATTTTTCTATAATTTCGTCTAAGGATTATTGCCTATCCTTTTTAACAGTTTTTATAAAATATCTAACATTTCTCTCTGTTAATTTAGGTGGTCTGCTAGACCTAGAAGCATTTAAAATTTGATGTTTAGTTTTATATTTTTTAATAATATTATAAATGGTTAACTTAGGATGGTCAAGAATATTTACAATATCTTGCTCAATATGATCATTTTTTCAAAGGCCAATTATTTCACTTCACTCAAATTCAGAAAATTTTTGAGCTTTAAGCATTTTAAAAAAATTATATTTGAATACAAGAAGTTTGTAACTATGCAGAAAAAAATTGACTTATTTTTATACATTAGATTACAAGTTATAATCGGTAAAATTACACTAATTAGTATAACAAAAATCACGTGATCTAATACTTTTGACCAGGGAGTGTACAGTAAATGTAAATAATAGATTCTTTATATTACTTTAATTTAATTTATAAATGCATAATTAGTATAAAATTTAAATTTATTTAAAGTTCAATTTCAAATATTTCAATTACAGATGGCCTCATGTCTATAATTCAGATTTTATCTAAAATTCAATTTCAGATATCCTAATTTCAAATAGCTTCATGTCTAAAATTTAGATTCTATTTGAAGTTTCAATTTCAGATATCTAATTTCAGATAGCCTTATATCTGAAATTTAAATTCTATTTGAAGTTCAATTTCAAATATCTTAATTTCAGTTAGCCTTATATCTAAAATTCAAATTTTATCTGAAGTTTAATTTCAGATATCCTAATTTCAGATGGCCTTATATCTGAAATTCAGATTCTATCTGAAGTTTAATTTCAGATATCCCAATTTAGACAGCCCTTGTATCTGAAATTAAAATTTAACTAATTTAACTGAAATTAAAGAGTTACACAAAAATTAGTCAATAAGATCATGACTGAAATTGGAATTCAGATAAATTCAGATAACAAAAAAGGGTATCTGAAATTGGAATTCTAATCTCAGTTAACTGATCTTTGAATCTCAATTTCAGATACTCAAAGATCGTTTGAATTCTAATTTTAGATGAAAATCAATTTCAGTCATAATAAATTTGAGTGTTTAGGTTATTATTCTAATCTCATATATAAATAAAATTTTTTTTAAGTACTTTTCATGTGATATTAAGTGCTGAACATATCGTACTAGAGTGCTCAATATACTATGCAGATCAAAACTAAATATAGTATCATATAAAAATTTATTAGTAATGATTTTTAGATAAATGTTGATTTATTATAAATTTACTATAAATTTAAATAGTTTGAAATTTTTTAGATATCCAGATCAAATGGAAATTTTTTTTCAATTACTTTGGTATTATTCTACTTTTATGAATTATAGCTACAAAGTTATGAAGCAAAAATTTACATTAACTAGCAATTTTTCTATTTATATTGGGTTAATTTCAATATTATATCATTATATGAAAAATTTAATTTATTAAAAAAAATATCAAATAATTTATATTAAATACAATAAATAGCTTTGTAACTATGTAACCATAGTTTATAAAAGCAGAATAATACCAAAGTAATTGAGAAAAAAATTTCCATTTAATTTGGATATCTAAAAAATTTTAAACTATTTAAATTTATAGTAAATTTATAATAAATCAACGCTTAACAAAATTTATCTAAAAAATTATCACTAAGAATTTTTATATGGTATTATATATAGTTTTGATCTACATAATATATTGAGTATCCCAATGTCATATATAGATCAATCAATTTTAATCATTAATTTTCCTTTTAAACAATTACATTTTTTTTACATTACATGAAATTTTGCTTTTAAAATAAATTTTTTTAAGATCTTCTTATAAGTAGATATAATTTTAATAATAAAAATATATGTAATTTTATAAGAAGAATAATATTCTCTTAGGTTGTAGAATATGTTGTTTAGTTGGATTTATATAAAATACAAAAAAATCTAATTTTTTAAAAAAAAATGAATTTTTATATATAAAATTTTATGGTAAGAAGTTTTTAATAAAAACTTTGAATTTGAATACAACTTGGTGAAAATAATAACTTTTATTAAAGGTAAGTAATTTATATTCTTCTTTGATTGACATTATTGAGCTAAATAAATAATATTAATAAAATACTAAAAAAATATGTAAGATTATTAAATAAAAAAAATTTAAATATTCTATATTAATATTTTATTCTAATAAGAAATAAAATATCTGTAAAAAATTTTTATTTAGATTATTTTTTTTTTTTATTTAATAAAAAAATGTATTTAAAATTAAAAAATTATTACATTAAAATTAAATAACAATATATTTTTCATATTAAAATTATTTATTGTCTGAAGTAGAAGTGTAGAATATTATGGTTAGATCTAAATATATATATCTCTCACGTAATTTACTAAATAAATATTTACTATAATTAATCAATTATCAACACTTCAGATACTTCGACAGTTTCTGTTATTTAG